AGTAAAATTTTACTCTAGTTCGATTGCTCTGTCTTTTATTTCAGAGAATGAGAGTAAAATTTTACTCTGGTTCTATTGTTCTGTTTACAATGAGAGTAAAAATTTACTCTGGTGTTAGAATGATAGTAAAATTTTTGATTGTTGAGAAGATAGGGGAGATATGTTTTTTTAGCTTATGCGTTTTAGTTATCAATTTTTAACTAGCAAAAAAGTTGCACCAAACAAGTTCATTGTCTGCAAAAATTTTACTTTTGTGCAGAGTAACATTTTACTTTTATATTCAGAGTCTAACATTTTACTCAATTTTCAGAGTAAATTTTTACTTTTATACAGAGTAAAACTTTACTTTTAAATTCAGGGCGTAACATTTTACTCTTAGATTCAGAGTAAAATTTTACTCTTATGCAGAGTAAAATTTTGCTTTTATGCAGAATAAAATTTTACTTTTAGATTCATGTTTCAGGGTGTGTTGGTGACACATTGTATGAGTTGTCAATCTTTGGCAAACTAAATAGTAAAAATTAACTCTAAAATATAGTACAATGTTACACTAAACCACAGTAAAATTTTATCAATTCAAACTAAACACAAATTGTAGTGACAGTAAAATTTTACTTTGATAGTGATAGTAAAATTTTACTTTGATAGTGACAGTAAAATTTTACTGTTAATTGATTACAGATTTGTAAAATGGTTCCACCTCTTATGTTGTTATGCAAGTATGGTGATTGTACCATTTTGTTCAAGGTTGTGTCAAACTGCATGTTGAAGGATTTAACTAATTTCTTAAGTTGTAAATTGAAGAAGTTTGACAATAGTGGTTGCATACTGTTATCGTACTGTTTGCCTGGACATTTGCAATGCATGATTGATGATGATTCTGATTTTCAGAATATGTTGTTGCTTGTTTATCCCCTTGGTGTTGACCGGGTTGATGTGACTATTATTGAAATGGGCATTTCAAATGAAAAACATGGAGTTGGAGAATCAGGGGACACTACTGGATCCAACATTACTGATGATGAAATGGATTTACTCCCTATATTTTGTCAACATGAAGAAAGGACTTTGTTGTCTTGTGGATGGGTGAATGGAATTACTCATGTAGGTCAAAGATTTATTGGAGGTGCAAAGGATTTTCAATCTGCATTATGTAAATATGCCACTGAGATAGGATTTGAGTTTGTGTATGTGAAGAATGAGAAGTGTCGAGTCACTGCTGTGTGTTCAATGCGGGAGTCGAAAGCTTGTTTATGACGAGTACATGCATCTCTAGAAAGTGCTAATAATTTTTTCTACATTAGGACTCTACATGATGAGCATACTTGTGGAGCTGCTGTTCGTACTTCTAAAAACTCAAGGATGAGTTCAAATTTGGTTGCAAGTTTCATTATTAATGACGTTCGTAGGAATCCCCAAACTGGTCCAATTGATGTTGTGCATCAATTTACAGATCAATATAGGCTCACCATTACGTACAATCACGCTTGGTTGGGAGTTGAGAAAGCTAGGACTACTACTTTTGGAGATTTCTCTATGTCTTATGATGAGATTCGATGGTATATCGATATTGTGATGAGCACAAATCTTGGTAGCTATTTGCGTCTTGACTATAACCATTAAAGTGGACAGTTCAAGAGGTTTTTTGTTGCATTTAATGCTTCCATTCAAGGGTTTAGGCATTGCCGTCCTCTATTGTTTATCGATGAGACTTTTCTGAAGGGGAAATATAAGGGCACCTTGTTAACAGCTACAACGAAGGATGGGGATCAAGGTAGATATTACTATAGTTTATTCAAAAGTAACAAGTTACTTATTCTCAGATTAACATGTTACTGTTATTCAGAGTAAAAATCTACTATATTTGTCCTTTTCGTTTAATATACTTACTAATTGTAAAATGTTATTTTTCAGGTTTTTTCCCTCTTGCAACGGCAATTGTCGATACGGAAACTACAGACAGTTGGGAATGATTTTTTATGCATTTGTCGAATATATTGTTGGATGAAAGACCAATTACCTTCATATCTGATCGGAAATGCTGGACTTTTGGAGGCTTTACCCAAGGTTTTACCTACTGCTTACCACTATTTTTGTCTCCAACACTTGAAGGCCAATTTGAGGGATAGGTTTTCTGGTCCAAGTTTTAGCAATACTTTCAGGAGTAGAATAGTTTTTTTGTTTTCTTCGTGTGCTTACGCTCCGACAGTGGGATGTTTTAATCAGTTCTTGAAAGAATTATAAGATGAGGGAAAAGGGATCATTTATGGGTTTCTATCCAATTTGCCCTATGACAAGTGGACTAATGCATATTTTAAAGGACAAAAATACAGTGAAATGCACTCGAATATGGCAGAGTCTTTCAATTCATGGATCCGTCAAGCTCGCCATTTGCCCACTACAAAGATGATTGATTCAATTAGGTTGAAGATCATGGATTTGATGTCGAGAATGAGAGAATAAGCTAAGAAATGGAATATTTTTCTTTGTCCGGAAATGGATTCAACATTAGTAAATGCCCTTAAAAGTGGAAGAACTTGGTTGGTTAGTCGTTCAAGTGATCATGTTTTTGAGGTTCAATCCCGGCCATCGGTTAGCGTTGACCTCTTGAATAGAACTTGCTCATGTTACCAATGGCAATTGAATGGATTTTTCTGTGCTCACGCGGCGACCGCTATTCAAAAGAGCGGAGGTGATTTGTATGCACATGTGGCACCATTTTATTACACCAGCAAGTTCAAAGATTGCTATGCTGAGTCCGTTTATCCAATACCCACTGTTGAGAAACCTCTTGTAGCTAGGGGTGTCTGCGGTTCGGTTTGGGACAGTTTGCGGTTCGGTTTGGACCGGCCGTATGTATGCGGTTTGAGGAAAAGTCAACCCACAACCACCTACAATGCGGTTTGCGGTTTGTGAGGATAGGGTTCGTGGCTGCGCGGGCGGTTGCAGGCCGTTTGCGGATTGAACCTTTTTTCAAAATTTTTTTGTTAAACCCTTTTTTTTTCCCATTTTTTATCAATATTTCTTTTAGACATTTTTCCTCCAATTTTCTAAAATATTCTAACATTAATAATTAATGAATTAGAACTTATAAAAAACTTATAAAATAAAAAACACAACAAAATCAATTCGTAACCTAAACAAATCATTCAAAATTTACTTTCATTATCAACTTGCATTCATTTCAATTCGTAACCTAAACAAATCATTCAAAATCTACGTTCATCATTAACTTGCATTCATTCTACATTCATCATTCCTAATCCAAATTAAAAAAATCCTACATTCATTATTCCTAACCCAAATACAAAAAAAAAAAGAAGAAAGAAAGGTAATTCTTCATTAATTTACATTCATCCAAAATGCAAAAAAATAAATAAAAATAAAAGGGGTTTTTTTGAATGGTTAGATTTAAAAAAGAAAAAAAAAAATTCTTATGCGGGCGGGTTGGGCAGGTGCGGGTTAAACCCGCAACCTGAAAATTAGATAAAATCCAAACCGCACCCTACCCTAATGTGTTTGCGAAACCGCCCATACATGTGCGGTTCGGATCGAGTAGGGCGGTTTGGGGGGGTCGGATGACCCTATGCCCAGCCCTACTTGTAACTATGGATGATCTTGTTGTCCTTCCTTCAATTTGTGAGAAGCCACCTGGTAGGCCAAGGAAGAATAGGATCCCATCTAGGGTGAGAAGATAAGACAAGTACAGTGTGGTAGATGCGAGAAGTACGGTCATAATAAGAAGACTTGCAATAAGGCATTGCCGTGAAAGACATTATTGATTTTGTAATAGAAGTATGAAAATAATGCAGTTCTTCTGCAATAAGTAGTCCATAGTAATAATAGTATAGTCTTTTAGGTTAGATTTGAAAGGAGACATTGCAATAAAAGACATTTTTACTATATTCTTGAATGGTTGTCTGTTCTAGTTCCTGATTTGTTTTGTGGTTGAATGGTTGTCTATGGATGTGATGAGCCTGTGGTTTCACAGTAAAATTTTACTATGTTCAAAGTAAAATGTTACTTTTAGATTAAAATTTTACCTTATTTCAGAATAAAATTTTACTTTTATAGAGGGTAAAATTTTACTTTAGTGCAGAGTAACATTTTACTTTTAGATTTAGAGTCCAAATTTTACTCGCCCTTCAGAGTAAAATTTTACTTTCATACAAAGTAAAATTTTACTTTTGTACAGAGTAAAATTTTACTTTTATATAGAGTAAAATTTTACTTATTCAAGTTGTAACATTTTGCTCTTAGATTCAGAGTATAACATTTTATTCTTATTTCAAAATAAAATTTTACTTTTATGCAGAGTAAAATTTTATTTTTAGATTCAGAGTGAAACAATTTACTCATCTTTCAGAATATAAAGTAAAATTTTACTTTTATGCAGAGTAAAATTTTACTTCATTTCAGAGTAAAAATTTACTTCATTTCAGAATAAAATTTTACTTTATTTAAGAAAATATGTTAGTCCCCTTAGAAAAACATTTCCAACCTGCACCAAAATTTACCACAACACACAAACTCCCCTGATGATTATCATGCAATCTTTGTGCAAAAAAAATCTAACAACACAGCTACATATATCATCAACATTCATTCCCAGTCAAAACAACTTTCATAGCAACATTCATTCCACTTACATTCCTAGTCAAAACAAAAGTCATAGCAACATTCATTCCAACATTCATAGCAACATTCAGTCAAAAATAATTTAAGTCTCTACCTGTATCATTGTATTCTATCCATAACAACATTCATTCACAGTCAAAACAATATCCTTCTATAATAATGTATTAATCACCGAACCACAATAAAATTTACTAAAACAATAGACATAGCATGTACTATCTAATACTCTTTTAGTATTCTTTCACTTACAATTACTTTTTCACCGTTCTTTCATTTACAAAAACCGAAATTACATACATCATTCACAGTAGTTCCCCAGAACTTGTCCACGTTGTCATCCTTGAGGTCTTAGCTCTTGCCCCTTCTTTTTTTTTTTTTTTTTTTTTTTTTGAGGTTGAAGTGTTCCTCAGTCCATGTTTTTGGATAATCATTCAAAAATTGATGCACTATTGACGCTCGGAAATTGTTAATTTCATCATCTTCCATAGAATTTGTAATAGGCTCATCTCTTATGATTTGGTGCATGATATAACATACAATAATTCCACAATCAACACTGTTAATAAAAATCAATATCTTGTTAGATTTAGTCAAATTTGAAAACTACCAATTGAAGCATGTAATAGTAGCATGAAAAACTTATGATGTTGGGCGTTGTTGTGGACTATCTTTCACCGAAACCAAGTTTGCAAACTTTCTTCCACCTCTTTTCGTTTTGTTGGCCAACTTGCTATCCACATATGTTATCTAACGTCATTACATAATTGTTTGGTCACGATTAAATTCAATAATAAAACACAGCAAAAAATTACTGCTAATATGATGCAAAGCACTTACAATGTTTTTTGCATCCTTAAGGTAAGGATCTTCTCTGTTGTCTCTTGGCTTTAAAGAATTATAATGTCTCCACTCATCAAGTTCAGTGTCAAATACAAGAAGTGTCCAGTGGTAGGATTTTTCTTCCTTTTTGTTCCCATTGGAATTCATGCAAAAATGAAGGTATCTATATCCACTCAAATCTTGTTCAAGGACTTTATCAATTAAATGATTTCTCAGCTCCCCATAACCCCATTTCACTAAAGACTGCATTTAATCATATAAGAGTGTCATGTTTCAAGTTGTGTTGGTGAGACACTGTATGAGTTGTCAATCTTTGGCAAACCAAATAGTAAAAATTAACTCCAAAATACAGTACAATGTTACACTAAACCACAGTAAAAATTTATCAATTCAAACTAAATACAAATTGATGGCTTACCTAACAAAGGCTTGAGAAAAAGAATGATTTATTCTTTTCTAGTTTCTTTGCTTGTTGCTCAATCTCAAGCATTTCTACGAAGCTGTCAATGACCTAGAAAAACAAAAATCAATTAAATATATGTTAATAAAATGAACTATTTTTAGTTATTGAAGTAAACACTAGTCATTGAAACTTGTATGGCGACTTACATTATTTGCAGTATCACCATCTCTCAGAATTGCATCTACATCATGCAATGTAACATATACTCCATTTCCTGTGCCGGACTATATGATTGCACTAGTCATAAGGTAAAAAAAATGTTGATTAATACGCTGCAGTTTGATAACAATAAAAATCTGTTGTTTGATAAAATTAAAATGGTCTTACTCTGTGGTTTCCAAATTCTAAATCTTGTTCAATAGACACTTATCATTCTTATCAAGCAATTTGCATATTGCAGCATTATCTGGAAACAAAACCCTTTCAACTGGCTTTGGTTGGCTTAGATGCAAGTTGTCAACATAAATCACTTCTTTTGATATCACTTCAATTGCTTGTTTTGTGGTCTTTTTTTTCTTTGCCTCTCTTGGCTCACATTCAAAATCAGACATCTCTTTTTTCTTCCTCGCCTTGATTTTGATTTTCTTGACCATGGATGTTTGCAATGGCTCTACGACTATAGGTATTTCTTTCAATGTAGTTTGAATCCCAAAGTTTTGCTCTTGTTCTACTCCTTTAGCATGCGGCATTTCTTTAGAAGCAAAACCTTGGGTAGTCGCATGAACTGCATTTTCTTTAATCTGTTCAACCAACTGTTTATTTTCAGATTCGAGTACTTCAATCTCCTTTCTCAGTTTCTCCATTTCTTTCTCTGTGTTGCTCATCTTTTCCATCATTTCTTTTGTTTTTGCCTCTTGATCCTCTTCTATTTTTGCATTGTTTCCCTGCTTTTCTTCAGTTCTTCAACCAATGCCATATTCTCACTTTTCAGCCTCTTGTTTTCCTTTTGAAGATCAATGAAGTCCTTCAAAGGTTGATCATCTCCTAAAGCTTCAGCTACATGATCTTCATTTTCTTCAGTCTCCAAATTTTCCTTCATGTCCAATGCATCTTCTTCAGTCTCCAAATTTTCCTCTATGTCCAATGCATCTTCTTCATCATCATTGCAAATGAGCTCCATTTCTTCTCTGGAAATGGGCTTCAGTTCATTGTGATTTACCTGCATTTGAAAATTAGAAAAAGAAAAGAAGCCAACAATTAAGCAAACTTTAACCACAAGAGTAAAATTTTACTCTGTTTCAAAGTAAAAGTTTACTTTGATTGTAAGTAAACTTTTACTCTAATTTTAAGTAAACATTTACTCTGTTCAAGAGTATGTAAAAGTTTACTCTGACTGTAAGTAAAAGTTTACTCTGATTTAAAGTAAACTTTTACTCTTACTTAAAGTAAACTTTTACTCTGTTCAAGAGTAAGTAAAATTTTACTCTGTTCAAGAGTAATTAAAAATTTACTCTGATTTAAAGTAAACTTTTACTCTGTTCAAGAGTAAGTAAAATTTTACTCTGTTTCAAAGTAAAAGTTTACTCTGATTGTAAGTAAACTTTTACTCTATTCAAGAGTAAGTAAAATTTTACTATGTTTCAAAGTAAAAGTTTACTCTGACTGTAAGTAAACTTTCACTCTGTTCGAGAGTAAGATTTTATTATGTAAGTATAATTTTAAGCAAAGTGAACCAGTAAAGCTGAGTTTGGAAAGATGATACCTCTTCGGGCTTTAGTGTTTGCAATGACTTCTTCATTAGCCTTTTCCTCATTGTTGATAAGTCTCATCGAAGGAGCCTTGGACACAAATTTTTTCCTTGAGGTTGAATGAGGGTAGTATGCTCGCATAACCAATACTATAAAATAAAAAATCGAAATTAGTTAATTCTCTAAAGATAGATTTCATAATATTTCAAGTAGTTCAATTTACTTACCAAAAGAAGAAGTACACATCCAGTGACATTTTCAGGACTTCCTAATGAAGAATGGATTGAAGTAGTCAACGTGGATGCAACTGCAATTGACCATGCATACGAATTCATCATTTCCAAATCTTCTACAAGGGCGACAAAGGCCAATCCAACTGTTAGACCAATTGTTGGTAATAGCAAAGTCGCCACATCAAATAGACACATTATTCATGCAGCATCATCAACATCAACTCTCGTTGTGCCTTCCAACGCATCTCCTAATGCCTCTCGCAAACTCTTTATAGATATTCTTAACATATTACGAAACCTACTCTACACAAAAGGTGATTCTTGTGTCTTTCCATATGACACATCTACTTTTTTCGTTCCTGATTTTATCCCAAAAATCAAAGTAACGTCACTGTCCCGTATGTCACATGTTTTTCCCCCAAGCTTAAATCCCTTTGCATGAAAGTCATAAGATTTGATCACATCTATGACATTATCGTCAACTTTCTTGAACTTCTTTAACACCATATCATCTTTCTTCCAAAAATATTTAAATAACATCCCAAAAGGTGTTCTCTCAAGGGCAGTAATGTGTCTTTTAGTGAACCTTGTGTCTCGCATTAGGTGTATTAATGAAACAATATTTGACCTATATTGTTTCATATAGTTCTCCCTCTCCCGTACTCCATGTAGAATATTCAACTTCGAAGGACTTTCTTTACTACCTTTGCTCTTTTTTTTAGGGACTTTCTTCTTTTGTATAACCGTTGATGGAACTTCAAAATCATCATCATCATCATCACCACATTTGCTTCTTGTAACAACCATTTTAAAACACTAAAAAGTTTCCCTATATCAACAGTGTAACATTTTACTTTAAACAACAATGTGACAAACAAATAAGCACTAAACAAGATGCACAAGCATTGTAATGAGATAGTAAAAGTTTACTTTGTTTGGCAGTAAAACTTTACTTTTATTGAAAATAAAATTTTACTCTGATTGGAAGTAAAATTTTACTCTAAAAAATTCATGACGCAAGTTAATTTGAAAGCATTAAAATTGCAGGATCAAAACACTACAGAAATCAAAGCGTAATGAGCAAAGGCTAGAGTTAAAGTAAAATTTTACTCTGTAATAAGTAAAATTTTACTCTCATTATAAGTAAGTGAATTTGAAAGCATTGAAATGACAGGACCAAAACACTACCGAAATCAAAGCGTAATGATCAAAGGCTAGAGTTAAAGTAAAATTTTACTCTGGTTGGAAATAAAATTTTACTCTGGTTGGAAGTAAAATTTTACTCTGAAAAATTCATGAAGCAAGTGAATTTCAAAGCATTGAAATTGCAAGACCAAAACACTACAGAAATCAAAGCGTAATGAGAAAATGCTAGAGTTAAAGTAAAATTTTACTCTGTAATTCTGAAGCACCTAAATTAGTTTTCAAAATTTTTAAACCTTAACATTCTCACATGATTTAGTAATTTAAAGTATTTTAAGATAGTGATAAAATTTTTAGAACAGATGATCTTTAGTGCAACCAAAAATTCCAAATTCTACTCACCCAACGTAATCTCATACACCACTCCCAAAATGAAAACAAACCTAGACAGACTTCATAATATCGAAAACTAGCAGAAAGAGAAAAAAATCACCTGTAAAATGTGTGTCCAAGAGAGAGAGAGTAAAGCATAATGCCGAGTTTGATTCGAGCGCAAGCGACGAACCTATAACGTTGCCAGGGTTTCAATCGACGAAACTATAACGAAGTAGCTTCAGAAAGCGAGAGTAATGAGACTCAGAGAAGGGTTTAAGAGAGAGAGAGAGTAAAGCATAATGCCGAGTTCGATTCGAGCGCAAGTGACGAACCTGTAACGTTGCTAGGGTTTCAATTGATGAAACTGTAACGAAGTTGCTCCAGAGAGCGAGAGTAATGAGACTCGGAGAAGGGTTTCAATCGTTGCTATGGTTTTCGAATGATGATATTCAGAGGAGAGGAGGGTTTTCAATCGATGAAACAGAGGGAGGGGAGAGAAACGGTGCAATTGTTTCATATTTCCCCACTTATATGGATGGGCATTTCAGTCAATTCATGGTATTTTTTTATTTGAGGGGCTTTTGGGGCCATTGGTTTCATCCGTGGGCTTCACACAAAATAGGCCCCATGGAAGGGGCTTTTCACCAAAAATCCCTCTTACTTTTGCAAGCTTTTCAAGCATTCGACAATCATTTTGATGTTGGATTTCATACTCAAGTAATTCTAATGCAGACGAGATTTGAAGATATCAATATTTATTATTTTAAAATTATTAGTTAATTGAGAAGTATTAATAAATAAGGTTATGTTTGATTAATAAATAAGGTTCTTAGGGCTATTTAGTTTATGCTTGAGTAATAAAATAGAGAATTCTTTTATTGTTTGTTTTTAGAAAGAGTATTTCTAGTTTGAATTTGTTCATGGGTTGGCCTTGTTATATGCTCATCTTTTCCATATATTTCCCAAGATCAAATTCCTTGACAATCTTTTCTAGTGCTTGACAATTATTTTGAAGCAAGATTTGAAAGTAATTAAACAATTCCTCCACAATCGGTTCAAGCACTTGAGGATTATCATGAAGTAGGATTGCAAACTCAATCAATTCCTCCACAATCTTTCCAAGAACCCAATAGTTATTCTGAAGCAAGATTTCAAACTCAAGCCATTCATTTTATTAGCAAAAGAAAGTTTTATTGATGAAGATTAAATGTTCAAGCAAACACTTAGACAAAACATCGACAAAGAAAAAGCATTGAAAAGGAATGTTAACTAACCCCAATTAGGTAGGCACTGAAAAGGAAGCCTGATCATGTGCTAATACAAGACCAGAGGTTGACGAGAAACCAACCAAAGCAAAACAAAACACTAAATATAACAGAACACCCGAACCCAAAAAGAAAATATTGTTGGGCTTGACACGAACATCTAAGCCTCTGCCTCATTGATCAGCCCAAGTTAGTGCCTTGCTTCCCATAGAACTAATGACACCATCAAATGTGAATATGAATCCTCAATGCTGAAGCTGGGACCTCTGCATCAAGCCAACAACATTATCAGGAACACCAGAAAAAGCTGCAACCCACAAGGATCCACTGCTCTGCTTGAACCAGTGCACAACGAAACACCACAAAATAACCTCAAGAATTCTTAACAATCACTAATCTGTTGAATGTGACAGATAAAATCATTCACCAAAAAATCCTTTGATTTAGCTTTTGATTTCGACCAAAGAGCCACACTCAAATTAATAATCTTGATCATGGATTTCTAGTTCGGTCACACCCCATCGAAAACCAACTTGTTCCTAACATTCCAGTCTCCAGATTGTCCATAAAATTGCAGAAGGAATCACCACCCAAATGACTCTTACCTTCTTTCTGATTCCAGTCCCGTGCCACCATTCGATGCAAGCAACTCAAATTTTCCAACTGTCTCCAATTCTAATTTGTATAAATGACAAAGACCAAGACTTGGATCAATAATTAATCCAACTTTCAACAACTTCTCTACCACTTTAACCCTGACATTCCAGGACAACCACCCAAAACATTGAACCTTATGCAAAAGTAATCCTACTTTGGGGCCCTGCGATGCTTCAAGCCACTTATATAGGGATTGAATTGAAAAAAATTAAGAATCAGCTATCCATAACAACCTATACTGGCTGCCAGCATTTAGAGATGGGATAAGAGAAACTGTGTTTCAAACTGCTCCTCCTCCCACCAAGGTCTTAATGATCATCTAAATAACCCATCCTTCCCTAGCCCATTATTCCATCTTTCCATAGAGATTAAAAGGTCTAGGAAATTCCTCCTTCCTTCAATAAATGAGGAATGGTAATCTTGTTTTGATAAATCTTTCCAAGCACTTGACTGTTATTTTAAAGCAATATTTCTTACATGATCAATTCCTACACAATAGTTTCAAGCACTCTAACTATCAAGATTTTAAACTCAAGTAGTTCCTTCACAACCTTCACAATTTAGCCTCGCTCCGTCTCTGAACATGATTGCATTGTAGCTAATCATTTTAAAAGAGGAAGTCCAATGAAATAACATTTAATCACAATAATTGTTACCACTATACCATTTTTGTGAAAAATTGTGTATAAAATTCAATAAGAATATTATTTTCCTGTATTATTGGTAGTGTCTATTTAAGAAAAGTAAATGATTTACTAACATAATTTTTATACAAGAACTACAATCTCCACCACACACTTCAATTCATGGCATAAATCTGGGCCCAAAATCTGGATTCCCAGACTTATTGATTCTAAAAACATATGATATGCCCCTGACATTCTAGCTAGTACAATTGTTGTTGAAGCTAGCAAGGGGTAACTTATTGATTTAAGTTGATCTACATTGCAAAACAATAAAAATTATCAACGACAGATGACCATGTTATAGTCATGCTAGCATTATTGATAAATTCTTCATATCAACGAAAATTAGCTCGGACGAATTTAATAATGGATATGCCGAAAGTGATAAAGCCAGCGCAGAAAGCTAAGAATGTCCATGGAGTAGAGAAGTATCTACGTCTGAGATGTGCCATAGCATCATGCCAACAACGCTTGCTGTATTCAGCAGCAGCTGTGGTTGTGTCAGTGAAATAGATCTCCCCAAGAACAATTTCCTTGCAGAGATTGTTGAAGAGATTGGAGGCATCTTCGCTGGCGCCTAAATAGTTATGTATGATTTTGGCCTTTTCAAGCACTTGGACATCTGTCGTATTGTTTATGAGTGTGTCCATTAGGAACGCATACCCTGTGAAGTAGCAAGGAACTCCATGGCAACATTGCTCAAAAGCAATGAGGTTTCTCAAGAATGATTCAGTGGAGTCGTCAAGGTTCAAAGTTGGGAGTTCAAAATGAGCTCTATGGAAAGGACCTCGAGGTTTATGAAACTTGATCTTCTTACTGTCTTTAAACTTGACTCCCGCATATTCAAGGTCTGATGCACAAGGCATGATCACCAAGCTAGGATCACCGTGTCTCGGAATCGATACTGCATCATGATCACGGTAGTGGTTGTGTAGAATATGGAGGATATGATCATATTGGCTGTTCTCTTGTGGTTGTGGTGTTCCATTCTTTTCTGAATTCCACAGACCTCTAAAATAGGAAAACACATATTCAACAATTGGAAATGTACCTGGTATATGAGCCACGGTGAGGTTGAACAACTCGTTAAGTACAAAGAAAGGAAGCTGGTTTTCGAGTAGTAGCAAGTCATGTCGTACATAGGTGGGCATCAAAATGTTGTTGAAAATAGCATCGTTGCGTTTGTTCTTCTCCTCATGGAGAAACCTGTTGATGAAGCAGGATAACGTGAAAAGAGAAAAATCTGAAACAAGAACCTGACAATTCTTCCACAAATCTCTTCAATCGAATAGTACCAGAAATATAAGGTCCTCAAACAAAACTGCATAATTTTATTGACAGAAATTTGATGAAAAATCTCTTAAAATGATTTTGTAATGAGAGAAGGACAATCTAATAAATTTTATTTGATAAGGCCCTCTAGTTCAAATTTTTTTTTTAATAGTTTAGGGACACTTATGAACAATTTTACCATTTATATTAATCTCATTTTGTTCAGAGTTGAAACTCTTGCTTCGATTTACAAAGAAATAGAGAGTGCAAAAATGTTGCGGTGCTACATTCTGATCCTCATCGTCGTCGATTTGGTTTTCGTCCCTCACCACAGTTGAATTTAGTGATTCCATTACAAACATGAAATTGAAATGGAGAGGATCAAAATATGAATTATGGTATATTGATTTATGTGGGGGATGTATCTCACTAATTTGTAATGGAATTTATGCAGTGTGCTGGGTGCTTACTTCCTTGAGGTTTGGTAGGGCAAAATGCCCGGCCATGTTAAGTAGTTGTTGAGTGACAATATATAATGGGGTGAAATTTTATTTTTCAAATGCTAAATTCACAGGAGTAAAATTTTACTTCCAAAATGTCAATCCAATAATCTTTTGGTGAGCTAATATTATGATTTCACTGTTTTAATATTCTTACAAGTGATAGTGATATAAGAAGTGTTGTGGGGGGCTGACGATGGAATTTTATTATTTTAAATGTTAAATTTAGATAGTAAAATTTTATTATATAAGCCAACCTTGACGAAGTAAGAATATGAAATTAAATATTCTGGACAATTCAATGTTAAATCAAATTATTCATAATCAAATCCTAATTGCATAATAAAAAAAATATAATAAAATCTATAATTAGTAAAATTCCATCTGTATTACCTGTAGAGAAGTTCGAGTATGAAACAACCATCAATCAGCAACATCTCTACATCCAGCACATCCTCAACTTCTTCTGCATAGCATTTCTTGGCTTTGTCTAATGACTCTCTCATTTTTGCTACACATTCTATTAGTACATTGGATTCATCACCCTTGGGCGATATTCGACCAAAGAGTGAATTCGTGTAACTCCTTTTGACATCCTGCACAGGCGAATTGAGAATGTGTTCGTCCTCGCTGTGAAGAGGCCCAATAGAGATGAAGCGAGGGGTATACGCACTTTCTTTCAGCTTACGAATCTCCTTGGGAACCCTGTAAATGCAAGAGGAAGAAGAATTGGATTCAGTCTTGTTGGCACCTTCAACCATTTTCTTATTAATTTCCTTTGTAAGCCTTTGGAGAGCTTCCTCATAGATACAACACTCATTGTTTTCACTCTTTTTAGTTGGGACTGGTAAGGAAGTGTTGTTGATGGAAGACATGTGAAGACAGTATATATATCTTCTTATATAACTATCTTAGGTAGTGATTTTGCCGAAAATGGTTATATATATATGTATATTGACCATCTTTATTCTTTTCTTTAACCGACAAAAGTTTTGCCTTCAGCGTGTGACCAGAGTTTGATGCCACTTTGTTATCAAGTACTCGACAATTATCCTAAAGTAGGACTTCAAAATCAAGCTTTAAAAAAAAGCAAAAAACTCATGCAGTTTCACGGCAGTCCTTTAAAGCCTTCAACAAATATTTTAAAGCAATATTTAGAAGTCAAGCATTTATTCCTCCATAAAAGATCTCGAATCTTATTCTAAAGCAATATCACAAACTCAAGCAATTCCTGTACAATCTTTACAAGAATGCCATTGTTAATCTAAAGTAGGATTTGAAACTTGAGCAATTCTGACACAAAAAGAAATTAGTGGTTATTCTATGCAAGATTTCAAACTCTAGCAATTCATCGAAAATATTTTTAAGCACTCTATCATGATTCTGCATTATGATTTGGATAAATTACCAACAGGTCTTAATAGTGGGACTTAATTTCTGTCAAGTCCTATTGACAATAAGTCCTAGTAAAATTGTCGCAAAAAATAATTTTTTGCATATATATCTAAAAATTGACAATTAGTGACTTTTTTTGTTCTAATTTTTATAAATTGTCGTGAAAATTTACAATTAGTAATGTTTTTATGTGATGAATTTTTCAAATTGTTGTTGAAAGTTGGAAATTAGTAACTTTTTTTGTGATAATTTTTTTTAAACTGTCGCTAAAACTTGTACTTAGTGATATTTTTTGTAATAATTTTCAAACTGTCACTGAAAATTAATAGTTAGTGCATTTTTTAATAGTGTTTAATGAAAATACCATTAATTATCATAGGACTTATTGGACAGTAAGTCCATTTATTAGGACCTATACGTTAGACCTTCTTAAGATTTTAAGTTCGAGCAACTCTTAAACAATTCTTCACAATCTTTTCAAGAACTCTACAATGATTTGATCTTGGATTCCAGACTTAAGCAATTCCTAGACAATCTTTTCTAGGATTGACAATTATTTTGAAGCAAGAATTTGAACTTTTTATGGCAATTCCTGCATAATCATTTCAAGCACTTGATGATTATGATATAGGATTTCAAACTCAATCGATTCCTCCATGGTCATTCCAAGAACCTGATAGATATTCTCAAGCAAGATAATCAAGCAAGATTTCAAACTTAGCAATTCATCAATAATTTTTCAAGCACTCGATTACTATTTTGAAGCAATACGTCTAACATGACCAATTCCTACACAATCTTTCCAAGTACTCACTACAACAAATAGTATTTTTGGCGATAATTGCCAAAAGTTCGTTTTTAGTAGCCGAAAATTTTTACTAACTAAAACTTTTGGTCGCCAGATTAGCCGTTGAATGATTGTCGGAAAAAGTAATTGGCAACTGAAAAAGATTTAGTTGCCGAAAGTTCACAATTGGCGACTAATGTTTTAGTTGCCCAAAGCTTTTAAGTAAAATTAATATCGTATTTTCAGCGACTAAAGTTTTTTGTCACAAAAACTTCAATTATTTAGGGCAACTAAATATTTAGTCGTGATTTTTTTTGTTCATCTTAATTTTTTAGCTACTAAATGTTTTTGTCGCTTGAGGTCTTTTTTTTTTTTTTTTTTTTTTTTTTCATAGTATAATTTTTTTTTTGCTAAACATTAAACATTTAGTTGCTAAAACAATTTTTTTCGTTTTATTTTTTTTAACTACTAAAGTTTTAGTTGCCTAAAGTCTGATTTTTTTTTTAGCTACTAAATATTTAGTAGCTAACAAGTTTTTTTTTCATTTTAATTTTTTTTAGCTACTAAAGTTTTAGTTGCCTAAAGTTTAATTTTTTTTTTTGCTGCTAAATATTTAATTGCCAAAAAAATTATTTTCATTTTAATTTTTTTAGCTACTAACTATTTAGTCACTAAAATTATTTACTTTCTTTTTAACTACCAATTGTTTAGTTACCAAAAACATCATTTTGTATTTTTTTTTAATTAATTTGTCCACAACCTATATGTATTCCTTGCAACCTGTATGTATTCCATGCAACCTGTATCATGTATATAAACAAAACAATACATATATTATCAATTGATAATATTATTTACATCCATTTCACTTACAATCATCCAAAAAGGAATAACTTTTCATGTCAAATTCCATACAAACAAAGTATATTTCAACCTAAAATAATAATTCCATACAAAACAGAGAAACATACGAAAACCATATCCTATGTATACAAAAAAATATTTCCATTATCATCCCAAATGACCATTTGGCATGGTACAAATTATCATGGTAATTTGTACCATAATAAAAGGTAATCTATATACCATGCCAATAATTATCCGTTCGATGCCAAAAATAATTAGTACCATGCCAAAAGTTATCTATACGATTAATACTAATCCACGCAAAGGCAGAGGACGACAAAATAGTGGGTTTATATAAAAGTATAAATTATCTTCTGTACACAAAAAATGGTATATCCATAAGTCCACACCAAAAGTCATTTACAAAAAAAATTACACCCATTAATACCAGAAATGCATGCAGAACTTGATAGTTTCAGGAAAAAACATTGGTGATTAAAGACATCTACAAAAAAAATTGCACCCATTAGCAACTAACTTTTTTTAGCCACCAATAAATAATATACCTTGACTAAAAAAATTTAGCAGCAAAACCCTAAACCAACACCGACCAATATCATTTTTAGTATCCAAAAATTGTTCTTTTGGGGACTAAATTTCTTTTAGTCACCAAATTTGGTCGTCAAAGGTGCTATTTGTTCTAGTGCCCCGGGCTCTGACTTTTTTGAGACCCAAAGCGAACTTTCAAGAAGGGGGCCTTTCATGCATATTTTTTTTAAAAAAATAATTATGTGCCTTTTTTTTTTTTTGGAATTTGACAGTACTCGTAAAAAGGTTACTTCCTATATATATATATATATATATATATCTATTAAAATTTACGTAAATATACATTAAAGTTTATTAGAATAAGGAAAATGACCAAAATAATTTAAATTGAAGTATCAAACAAAAAGTAAACAAACTATAACAAAAATCACTTAAGCATCATTCTTCTAATATTTTTAACTATAAAATTACTAATCTAGCTCCCATAATCCAACTTACAAGCTAAGGGTTCGTTTGGGAAGAACTTTTTAGCTTAATTTTTTTGACTTTTTGGTTAATTTTGCTTGACTAAATTAGTTTCGTTTGGGAAGAATTTTTTGCCTGACTAACTCAACACACCACATTACAGTCCCAAAAACAAACAAAGATTACACCTTCCACCTAAACAAGATCTAATCTACAAAATATTGTAAAGAAAATCATTAATAATGAACTGAAAATCTTTAGTTGCAGCTTTCATCCATATAGGTAATTTAATGATGATCGCCTCCTACAGCTCACCCATAAAATTACTAATCTAGTTCGCATAATCCAACTTATAGGCTAAATCATTTTCGATGGATAAAATTGCCAATTTATTTAATATTTCATTTGACATAGTTGAGTAAAGGTAAGATTTAATCAATTTTAATTTAAAAAGAGTAACTACAAATAATATAATCAATCTTATTTTACATATAAGCCATACATTTGGAATACAACTATTCAATAATTTCAAATAATTCACCACATCAATAAGTTTTTTAGTTTCTTCGTATAAAAAAACAACCATCTATTAGTTTTAAATTATAACTAAATTTCATTAAGACCTTTTAAATTCTAGTGATTTTTTTTATAAGCTAATATAATAATTAACAAAAATTTGAGACAATTTTTTAGTTAATTTTCAGAGGCCAAAGTGGCGGCTTTGCCGGCTTACGCCCAAAGTCGGGCCTGCTCGCAATCGAGATTTCAGACTCAAGTACTTCGTTCACAATTTTTTCAAATACTCTTCTTAGGCAAGGAATTTCTCACAATCTTTTCAAGCATTCAATGGTTATTCTAAAGTTAAACACTATAACAAATAAGAGTTTTAAGGACCAAACTTTTGTCTCCAAAAATAAAAAATTGGTTGTAAAAAATATTTGAGAATCAATTCATGTATTCTCAAAAGTTCAGAAAAAGGACTATAAGCGACAAAATTTTAAAAATGTCAGAAAGGAAAGGATAAAATAATTTGTTCCCAAAAATGGTTTTTTTTTTTTTTTAGACAAAATTTTAGTCCAAAAAATATAATAATTCATTACTACATGTCTAATTTTGTCGCTAGAAGTACAATAATGACATTTTTGACCAAAAAAAAAATATTTCGTTCCTAAAAAGTGATTTTGTTCCAAAACTTTAATTTGTTGTATTGATATTTCAAACCTAATTAATTGATCCACAATGTTTTCAAGCACTCAAATCCGAAGTTGAAGCAAGGTGAAGAAAGTTGAGCAAATTTGCAACATTTATATTTAGAGTAATAATATATAAACAAATTTAATTATATACATAATAATATGACTGCATCGGGACATAGCATTTTGAAAGAGTTTCCATCCGAATGACAAAGTAATCATTTGTTCTCGTTCTCGTGAAAATTGTGTATAATTTTTTTTTAAGGATGTTATCTTTCTTATACTTGATGCTACTGACTTTTTTGGAAAAGAGAAAGTGATCTACAAACATAATAATTTAACCTAAATGATGTGATAATAATATTTTTAAAATTATAAACTATAATAATTAATGGTTTAGCTTGCGACTAGTATCCTGTACAATAATATATATATATTTATCAATAAAAAGATATTTTATTGATGATAAATCAAATGTATAATTGATAGAGATAGTAGTCCAGATGGCATCATCGCAGCAAAGTCTACTACTGGTCATGAGGATGACAGTAGCACGTGCAACGTAACAGTTGAGAAATAGTTAAGAGACATTTTGGATATAATAATGATTGAGACTTTTTTTTTTTTAGAATTCATAATTCTTTTAGATCTCATTTATTGATGGTGTATATCTCATACATGTATAAATAGATCTCATATATACATCAATAATTGAGATCTAAAAGAATTACAAGAGTCTAAAAAAAAAAGATAATTCTAAACATTTTTCATTTTGCATATATGTAAAGTAGTTAGAGAGAGAGAGAGAGAGAGAGAGAGATTAGAGATATCGTGTTTGTTACAACAAACCCACTTGAGTGTACATAAGATGTATGCTTTAATATTGAATCAAGAATAATACACTGTTCTGTACTTCAATAATAAAATCAATACATCAATAAATTAGAAAAGAGATGGATGCAACAAGCATAAAAAAAGTGAATGGCTTCCCTTTAGTCCGTGATTGGATTAGAAGGCATTATTGGACCTATAGGGGCGCATCACGGGTTCAGTTTCGATAATTTGAATCGCCAATGTGTAGAACTTGTTGAGTACTAGATGCTTGTAAAAAATCACATTGATCGAATATCGATAGCTACGTGATCAAATTAGATTTTTGTAATCCGTTTTATTTTTCACCGTCAATTTTTTTTTCATACAAAACTGATTTGATCGTATAGTTATCGATATTTGATCAATGTGACTTTTTATCAGCATACAGTACTCAACGAGTTCTACACATTGAACCGTTCGGATTATCGAAACGGGACCCGTGGCAACCCCCACAGGCCGAACAGTACCATCCAGTCCGTGACTGAACTGGAGGGAAGCCATTCCCTAAAAAAAAACTATCTGATGATTGCAATAGTGGTGAAGAGCCGAAAATACAATCATTGCAAAGTTAAACCAACTTTAAACTATCTAATGAGTTTGCTTTGGTCTCTTAAACCACTATTACCAGATGATTGCAAGAGTAGATTTTTTTTGGTACATCGGAAAGGGAAAAAAGGAACAAAAGAGCAAGAAAAACAAAAGCAAAGAAACAACAACAAACAAACAGATAGGAAGCTAGGGATGTGAATACAGGCTTAGAGCCTCCTGTATGCCACTCCCAACATATCAGCAAGGATTTGGCTTCGCACTTCAACAAGTGGTTCCTCCACAACCACTAGAAAATCAGATTGGTTAGCTCCCATTTTTGCAACCTTGTCTGCACATTGATTAGCTTCCCGCATTTTGTGTTGAATGGTGCAGCTACAACGCTGTATTAGGTGACACAAGTCCTCAACAATGCTTCTGTATGGGCAATTGGGAGGAGGGCCTTTGGTAAGCAGCTCCTCAGCCATAGTGAAATCAGTTTCGACGATAATTTCTCGAAGGCCTTCCTCCAAAACAACTGTAAGACCACGGTAAATGCCCCACATTTCAGCTTCGAGGCTAAAATAGTTCTCAAGCTTCCCACTTCATCGCGGAAGGCTCCACCGAAACCTCCTTCTCCCAGATCACTACGTGCACACCCATCTATATTGAGTTTAATTTTACCTGAGGAAGGAGATGACCAATGAATAAGCAAGGGTGGATGTGTGTATAAACTAAAATTCAAGAGAAAAGCTTGTTGTATCTCATTAGCATAGATATGTATAAGGTGTAAAGTTCTTTGTAAAGTGGGATCCACATTTTCAAAAACTTTTTTGTTCCTATCCTTCCAAATTTGCCAAAGAGAGGCAGCAAACACATAGTTCCAATAAGGGTCAGTGCATTGTTGGGCTTTCAAATTCTTTTTAGGCCAAGAGTTAAGACTCAATTGCCAATCTAAGGATAGCCAATGAGTTCTAGCCACACTGCCCAAAATAGCTTTGGATACCATATAGCTGCGAAAAAGATGTTCAATGTCTTCAGTGTGGAACCCACACCTAGGACATTTAGCAATATTAGTCAACCCTCTTTTTAGTCTCATATCATTGGTGAAAAGCCTCCCAATAAAATCAGCCACGGAAAACTTTTAACTTTTTGTGGAATTTTTTAATTTCCACACCTGTTCAAGATCCATGCTTCCATCCACCTGATTAGAAGCAATATTATAAGTAGTAACAGTAGAGATGTTGGAAAATTTATAAAGAGGTAGTTGTGAATTGAAATAGACTCCATTTTGAATGAAAGTGTGTAAACCTTTCATGGTGTCTTTTTGTTTTAAAGGAAGGGTCGAACCTCCATTTGAATGAAATGGTGCAAACCTTTCATGGTGTCTCTTTATTTTAAAGGAATAGGTATGTCCCTTCTTCATACATTTTCTATTCAAATTGAATAGGTGCCAACAAAGCCTATATAAAGGCAGCCCCATTCCAATTTTGATTGATCCGAAAAATTCAGTCTGAAATTCTTGTCTCTTTGCTGTCCATTTTCTTTTAGTGCATTATTCTTCATATAAAATATTAGGAATATATTTCAGAGAGTTAAAGAACACAAGGTTTTAGTTCGCCGGACAAATTTGTTTGAAGTGCTTCTACAAATTTGTGAAGATCATTGTATCTTGGGAGATAGACGCCACTCAACCGTAAGCACCGTAGCGGGGCGAATCTGTCTTAAGGACAGAGTGTCACACACTCGACTTGGTCTTAATTTTAATTCGATTCGATAAATAAATCCGGTATGTTATTTATTTATTTTTTTTGATTTTATTTCAAGTTATTTTATTTACACAGAAGATTGTTCCAACAGTCTTAAGACAGATTCGAATTATTCTGATTACAGAATTTTTCGTTTGTTTCCTTTTCTCTTTCTTCGTTTAAGAAAATTATTTTCTGTGGATTTACAAAATAATATTCTGGTTGGAAAAACAAATAGTGATTATATGCTATTTGATAGATTGTAGTAATATACTGTCTATTTTCTTTGACAACTAGTAGTACGATACTGGTGTCATTAACAATTCAGAATATATTTTTGTGGAATTTTTTTAGAAATTAATTTTGGGTTTTTTAAAAATTATTTTCTGGCTTTTCATTAATTAAAATTTTGTTTCAGTATTTTAATTATTGATGTGTTATAGAAATTTAATTTTCTGTGTGGAATTAATTTGGTTAAATAAAATTTTATTTTATTTTCAAATTAATTGGAAAATAAAAGTTACATTCTTGTTTCTTTTATTTTTACAGAATTTAATTTTGCGAATTTGGTTTAATTTTCTGTGTAGTAAAAATTTTAATTATAAATTTGTTTTATAAATTAGAATTGATGGTTACTGAAACAAATGCCCAAACAAGTACTACTGTGGTGGCTGCAATTGCACCAACCCCCTCTCCTGTGATGACAGTACCAATAAATTATGGAGAGAAGCCAGAGAAGTTCTCAGGAACTGACTTTAAAAGATGGCAATAGAAAATGTTGTTCTATCTTACAACTCTGAACCAGGCTCGTTTTCTCTGTGAAGATGCTCCTATCCTGAAAGAGGATGAAACTGATCGGCAAGTGGTTGCTGCGGTTGATGCTTGGAAACACGCCGATTTCATTTGCCGGAACTACGTCTTGAACAGACTTGACAACACATTATACAACATCTACAGTCCAATCAAAACAGCAAAGGAACTTTGGGAATCGTTGGAGAAAAAGTACAAAACGGAAGATGCCGGCTCAAAGAAATTTGTGGTTGGCAGATTCTTGGATTTTGTAATGGTTGATTCAAAAATTGTGATCAGCTAAGCTCAAGATTTCCAACTCATTCTGCATGACATTCACGCAGAAGACATGTCTCTCAGTGAATCCTTCCAAGTTGCAGCCTTAATTGAAAAATTACCAAAAGGCTAGAAGGAGTTCAAGAACTACTTCAAACACAAGCGCAAAGAAATTTCTATGGACGAATTAATTGTGCGTTTGAGAATTGAGGAGGACAACCGCAATTCTGAAAAGCGGGCTGGTAAGCATCCTATGGAGTCTAAGGCAAATGTGGTGGAACATGTTTCAAAAACCAAGAAACGAAAGTCTTCTGGAGAAAGTTTATCACAAGACTCTAAACGGGGGGATAATAAAAAGTACAAGTTTAATGGTGACAAAGAGGGACATCGGGCCAAAGATTGCCGTAGCAAAGGAAAAAGCAAAAGAAGAACAAGCAAGAAGCCTGCTCAAGCCCACATGACTGAAGTGGACAATATTTCCAATGGTGTCGATGACATCAATCTTTCTGCAGTTGTTTCCGAGGCAAATCTTGTCGGAAATCCTAAAGAATGGTGGGTGGACACTGGTGCTACTCGCCATATCTGTGCCGACAAAAAGATGTTCACATCTTATTCTTCAGTGGACAATGGTGAACAGCTTTTTATGGGCAACTCCTCAACTTCCAAAGTTGAAGGACAAGCCTCAACCCATTCCACTGCCATAATTTAATATTGAATACACACATCATATAATATTTTCTTTCTCTCTCTCTATTAGATATTGTAATATGGTATCAGAGCTAGATTAAGCACCTAGTAATTTTGCTTCACCGGCGGGTAGCAGCATTGCTTTGGCCGCCCGTCGGACCTCAACCTATTCTACTGTCATATTTTTATTCAGTGTCGCTTCGTGGTCATCTATTCCTCTGTCCACTAGTTTATTCATATCTCAAATATCTCTATCATATATAATCTATTTTTGTGTGTGTTTCTGCTCTACTTTGTCTTTCCCCCTATTTCAATCTCAAATAGTTTTCTATCTTCAAACCTATTTGAGTTTGAGGGGGGGTTATACATATATCATGGTGAGCATGGTTACACACCATGGGAACCACTCAAGCCACCCCATGG